GAGAGAGATAATGATTTAGTTTAAATAATTATCAAGGCACTAGATTAGTATTAATATTAGTGAATTTTTAATATAATTTTTTGAGATACCTTTCTCTGATTAGTAATCATTAATAATTAATTATTACAAAGTAATAATATTTTTGTAATCTTATTTTGGATAAATTGCTTGTATTTAATTAAATAAATTATATATTAAACTCACATTAATAGAGTGAAAGCCTGAGTAATAAATTTTATAATTTTAAGCAATATTTCCTGATCCTAATATTAATACTGTAATATTATACTGTATACGCAGTGATCTTGATCTTATTGATTTTAATATGCATACTTTACTTAATATTTACAATTATTTTAGTTGCATTTTGTTATGAAATATTTTGTTATGCTATAATTAATTGGTGAATAGCATGAAGTTTGTTTAAATATGTAAATAGAATTTTATATTTTGATAATATATTTAAATATTATATTCATTTGTAAAATCAATAAACCTAAATAAATATAGACCAAACATGATAAAACTAAAACTGGAAGTAAAACTTAATTACTGAAAGTAAAACTAATTCAGAGAAAAATAAATTTAGTACACTTTACTACTACAACTATATATTCAAATTATTTATATACAATTTTTAAAATCATTATAAAAAATAAGTTTTAATTATTATTTTATTTTAACTTTATTTGGTTTGTGATATTGATATTTAATTACATTATAAAATAATTAAGAATTAAATAATTTTATTATTATGACACTTTTACACTTATAATTTATTTCAAATATAGTTAATAAAATAGATTTATAAAATACACATTGTTATAATATTATATACATTAGTTTTAGGTTTTAAGTATTGTATAATTGAAATAGTAGCTTGTTGTTACATAAATTAATATAATAATAACCAAAGACTAAAGTAAATATATCATTTGTTGTGTGCGCAAACATTATAATAATTAAAACAATAAAACATTAATGAAATTATTTTGTTTTCAAAAATTAATTACTAGTCTGAATTAAAATAATGCCATAATTGGTAACATAACCCACAATTGCCAATATTGTGACCGTTTTCAAATCAAACAGTGACAACACCTTAAGCCTAATGCTATCCCTTAGGGCCAGAATTACCGTCAACTGCTTGTAATGGTCATCAGAGGGGGCGCCCCCATAGACCCCATCAACAATGAGTGCCCACTCAACCTGTTTGCAGAGAGCGGACATAGCGTTGATCATAATCTGTGACGCGTAACATATGATGATAATATCGATCAGTGCTGTGATGGCAAAGCCGGCGACACCGACATAAGCTGCAAATGGGAGTTTGCCGACTGCGCCCACACAACCAGCGCTCGACAAAAACATGGCGTTGAGAAACACTTTGATAAACATGATCACACCGGTCAGCTCGTTGATTGTCTCGATCTGGGTCCTTAGCGCTAGGATGTTCTCGCACAGGGTCTGTATCTTAATAGTGCGTTGGGTTAGGTTAACTGTCCATTCTAGACACATGTTTAAGATGATGATAATTTTATATATTAATAAACTACAATAAATTAGTCATTTGGTATATTATGACATGCTATTGTATTTAAAAATATACAACACGCTTACCCTTAATCTGTTTAGATATGGCAAACGCCGAGAATAACAGGAGAGAAGTGACCGAAAACTTGTTCATTGAGAAGAAGAGACCGACAATGAAAAAACCAATTGTTTTTAGTTTCTCATCGCTAAACACACCGGATAGTGATTTATCGAGGTCGGTGAAATGTATGGGTAGCATAAACGCGTTCAGAATTGCCATTACAATCAAAAACACTGTTATAATCCACGATTGTATTGATGAAATATGCTCAAGACCTATCATAGTACAACACAAACATACATTGTAAATTTAACAACTTAATAAGTATATAATGCAATATTAAGTGATATACAGTATTAAATACTTCATGAGATAATGCATGAACTATTGTACTACACTAACCAGTTGTCTTGATGACCCTGACCAAACTCCAGCCATTTACCAGCAACATCAACTTAATAGCAAAAAACTCGACGGCAACTGATAATCCGGCGAACCGGAACAGTAAATTGATGATGCCTTTATTGTTGACATTGTAAAACAACCTGGTAAACACGTCGTCCGTAAAGGCGAACCACTCAAACGCCCCAAACATTACAATCACTACACAGTCGTACAAAATTAAGCCGGCTTTTTTAAGCGGGTAGTTGTTAAATTGGGGACAATTGCCGCAATAAGTTACCCCGAAAAACATATGAATCCATAGTAGCCGACAGAGACCGGAGCTCCGCTCTTCGTCCGAGCATTTCAACGGGTCGTCATGAGTGCCGACACCAGAGTCGGGCCCCTGACCCACCTTTTGATGCTTTGAACGCATTGTGTTGTCGAGTATTGTGTTATACTTTATGATTGCAAAACCGTTTTCATCCATATTATTGTCGATGGGTTTAATCATCTGTTTTGGCGCACAGAGGGTGGGAGAGAAAGATGACATTGAAATAAGTCATTGATCACTTAATTTCAATTATATTTTATCACACTATTGCTATGAATTATCGTATATAATTAAATATAAATTAAATATTAAAATATATTTATTTATTGTAAAAGTAATAATATGTAAAAGTAAATGAGTGAGCGATTGAGAGAAAAAAGGAGAGAGAGAGAGAGAGAGAGAGAGGGAGAGAGAGAGAGAGAGAAATATTTGTTAAACTTATACAAAACTTAACTTATACTTAAACTTAAACTTATTGTTAAACATAAATTGTTAAAACATGAATTAATACATATCTCATTCATACCGTTTTGTATTATGGCTTTTGTATAAAATATATGAACACTGTATAAATCATGTTGACTGTTAGATACTGATTTAATAATATGCACAGTATATATTATACAAATGTTATTTAAATATTATTTCAAAATAATTTATACTTGAACATATATATAATAAATAGTGGATTTCTTGAATAATAATCAATATACTGCACCAAACCGTTGTTTGTATTAATAGTTTAGATATTTCATTAATATAGCTTTTACATAATAAATTCGTATTGTGTTATTAATTAGCAGCAAACATGAAATTGTTTCAAATAATTTAAGTAAAATATTATAATTTATCTTATTTTAATGAGAAGAAGTTAATTTTATATTTATATTCAAAGCAATAAATCTAAATAAATATTTATTTATATATTTTTACTATAAAATATTAAAATAGAAAATCATATTTAATAAAAATAAAAAATATGTTAATGATAAAATTCAGACTGTTTGAATATTCTAGTTACTATTACTTTAATTCTTAAAAAATAAAATATTAAATGCTATTTTTAAAACAAATTATTATTAATAAATGTTATAGTTTAGAAAAATCATAAATCTTATATATACCTGAAAATTCACAAATCGATCACTTGTTGAATATTTCATGGAAACATTTATAATATATTTAAGACAATAATATTTTATATGTGTTGTATGTTTAAACAGAATATTCTGGGTTATCATAAAGATTATTCTTGTATATTAATTAAATGTCAGTTATATAAGGCTTACATTTGAAGGTTTAGATAATAAAATGTTGTTTGTTATGCTTTAATATAAGCCGACATTATATATTATATTTACCTCGATCAATAACTAAAAAAAACTATCAGTTTGTTGTTAAATAATATTTGACATCTTACAATATTAATTATTTTATATGTCTCGCACTAGACATGCACTTATTTAAACAATAATAAAATAAAGACAACAAACTCTACATAATTAATAATTTTGATAGATTATATATTAATCAGTATATTTGTTGTGTATTAAATATAAATGTTTTTAAAATTAAACATATTTTATTTAATATAACAACTATTTTGAAGTTTAATTAAATTTTCATATTAATTTAAGGGATTATAAATATTTATAAACATAATAAACACTCAATACATAATTAATACATTAAGATTTTATATAGATATATTTATTTATCATATAATAATTATTTTATTTAACTCTGATTGGAATATATTATTTGAAATACATTATATATAATTGTAATCGTAGATTTAACGACTAGTTTGTATGAGAATAATGGCATAATTAGCGACATAGCCTCCAATAACTAATATTGTAATGGTTTTCAACTCAAACAGAGAAAACACTTTAAGCCTAATGCTATGCTTCATCGACAGGATTACCATCAGTTGTTTGTATCGATCCTCATAGCATAAGTCGCCGTACACACCTTCATTGACCATGGTAATCTCAACTTGTTTACATAAAACAGACATAGCATTAATCATAATCTGTGACGAGTAGCACATGATCACGATGTCAACAATGGATGTAAAGGCGAACTCAATGATACCAATCTGGGCAGAGATGGGTAGAGTGCCCACAGTTGTCATACAGCCAGCGGTGGACAGAAACATGGAGTTTAAAAATATTTTGATTAAAATGATGACTCCACTTGTCTCATTTATGATTTCAATCTGGGTTCGAAGGCCTAGAATATTATGGCTCAGATCTTTTATTATTATTGCGCCCTTTTTCAGATTTTTTGTCCATTCTAGTTTAATAAAGTCCAACAATTATACTGTATAATACTAGATAGTTATAATTTTATAAATGATTTAATATTGAATTCTTAGTTTCTATAATTATTTTTTTAAATTGTTAGTTATAACTAAAATTCAAAACTAACCGTTAATTTGGTTTTGCATCGCAAACGCAGAGAATAGCAGTAAAATAGTGACCGCAAACTTGTTGACCGAATAGAAGAGACCCACAATGAAATACCCGGCTGTTTTAAATTTTTCCTCATTGTATATACTAGATAGTGACTTGGTCATGTCGGTAAAATGAATGGGAACTATTATGGCATTTACAAATGCCATTACAACAACAAACGTGATTAGAATCCATAATTGTCGTCGACTCATATAGATATCGCCTGATAAGAAATCATTTAGCATTATGAACATAAATTAAATAATACAATAATATTAATTATTAATATAACCTTAATATAAAATGTTACCTGTTGTTCTAATAGTTCTGACCAATTCCCAGCCATGGATTAATAGCATAATCTTAATTGCTAAAAATTCAATGGCGATTGAAATACCAGTCATTTTGAACAATATATTCATAACACCCTTATTGTGATAATTTTCAAACAATCTCATAAACGTGTTGTCGGAAAATGCGTGCCATTCAAACCAAGCAAACGTTATAATGGTTACCAAATCATATAAATAAAGCAGGATTCTTTTAAGAGTATAATTGCGAAACATGGGACAATTTCCACCATAAGTGACCCCAAAACATAGCTGAATGAATAGTAGCAGACATAGACCGGAGCGCCGTTCTCCTGGTGTAAACTTTAAAGGGTCACAACTACGGCAACTCTCGTCGGGGCGCGAATTCACTACCTCTTGGCTTATCAAACCTGACATATGTTTAACGGTATTGTTGCTGTTATGTTTCATTTTTGAAAATTTGCGTTACCTTGTACAAATTTTAATTTATGTTAATAACTTTAAATAACAAATTCAAATAGTTAAATAGCCAGTTTTATAATTTTATAATGTTAATTTTAAGTACTTACAAGTTAGTTACGCTCATTACATATTAATTAAAGATTAATAAAATATTTATTATATACTTGCTGTAAACTTACAACATATTTTAATAATGTAATAAAAAATAATGTTGAACGCAAAATTTGTGCCAAATTTATCAAATAAATCTAAATGCAACCGTTTATATAATTAATAAATATGTTATATAACAAAGGATATTCTTTATATACTCACAGAATATAATTTTAGTGACCATTAAATTGGTTGTAAGTCATTAATTTAGAATTTTTACTAAATTATATACATTACAAAATAAATATTTACTCATTTTGTTCATTTATATAATTTTAATCATACAGCAAAATGCACATTTTTATTCACATTTATTAATTATTGATAGTCTATACAGTATTCCTGGAATATTTATTTTATTAAGCAGTATTACGTTAAACGAGGATCCTACAATGTAAACAGGTTACAACCAATTTTATTTGCTGTCTACAGTTATAACTAATTTAAATCCTAACGGACTAGATTTAACCTTAAAGTTTATGTAATATGTAACAATATTGATAAATTAACGACTAGTTTGTATGAGAATAATAGCATAATTAGTAACATAACCTCCAATGGCTAATATTGTGGTCATTTTCAGATCAAACATTGACAACACTCTAAGCCTAATGCTTTCTCTCATTGATAGGATTACAGTTAGCTGTTTGTGGTCATCATCATGAGTGATCATGATTCTTTCAATCTGTTTACATAGATCAGACATAGAATTGATCATAATCTGGGACGAGTAACACATGACTACGATGTCTACTAAAGATGTTGTAGCGAACTCAATGATACCAATTTGGACACATATGGGTAGAGTGTCCACAGCGGCCATACATCCAGCGGTTGACAGAAACATAGCGTTCAAAAATACCTTAATCAACACGAGTACACCAATCGTGTCGTTTATAATCTCTAGCTTAGTGCGAAGGTCTAGTATATTCTGGCTTAGATCGCTTATTTTTATTGCGCCCATGGTCAGATTGTCTTTCCATTCTAACTTAATAAAATACAATACTTAATATGATAAAATAATAATATTATCACATATAAGATTCTATAATTTTTATTAAATTTTAATATACTGTTAAACTTCGTAACTTAGATCCTTCGATCTTAGATTTTTGCCTATCTTAGAGTCAAACTCAAAGTCCCGATTCACTCCATAGAAGCCTAATGTTAAATTCCCTCATATCTTAGACCTTCTATCTTAGACTTTAGAGTCATTGTCTGGGACCCAATAGGTCCGTATGTGCCTCTTATCTTCGAGTTACCAAAATTGACAAAAATAACGTCATTTATTTGTATTTTCATCTGAAATCTTCCCTTTAATCTTAGAATTTCAGACAATTTTTCCCTCTTATCTTAGATTTTTCCTTCTATCTTAGAATTTCAGCGATTTTTGCCCTTCTATATTAGATTTTGCTATCTTAGAATCCTTCTATCTTAGAGTCATTTCCCCGGTCCCGACCAGGTCTAAGATCCAAAGTTTAACAGTACCAGTATTGCCTGTTGGGGCAGGTATACAATAGGAAATGCAACATTTCTATTTGAATAATTGTCCCAATTGGCAGTCCTGTAATATACTAACCGTTAATCTGTTTCTGTATCGCAAACGCCAAGAATAATAGCAAAGAAGTGAATGAAAACTTGTTTATTGAGTAGAAGAGACCCACAATGAAAACCCCTATTGTTTTAGGTTTTTCAAAGTTGTATACGCTTGATAGTGATTTATCCAGGTCAGTGAAATATATGGGTTCTACCAGGGCATTCATACAAGCCATCAAACCCAAAAACATGAATATTGTCCATGATTGTCTTTGGTTAATATAGATGTTTCCTAATAATAAGTCTTTTATCAAAATAAGTCAATTAACTGTATAACTTACCTGTTATTTTAACGGTTCTGACCAATTTCCTACCATTAAATAATAGTATTATCTTAATCGATAGAAATTCAATTATAATTGAAATTCCAACTATTTTGAACAAGATATTTATTACACCCTTATTTTGATAACTTTGAAACAATCGTATGAACGTGTTGTCTGACAGGGCGTACCACTCATACAACGCAAACATAACAATGATAATCACGTCGTATATAATAAACGTGATCCGTTTTAAAGTATAATTGTTAAATACGGGACAATTGCCACCGTATGTGACCCCAAAATATAGCTGAAACATGAATAGCCGGCACAGACCTGAGCGGCGTTCATCGGGTGTGCACTTTATACCATCATTATTACAGGAGTCCTCGGCGGGACGCGAACCCACCACCTGTTGACGCGTCAAACGTGACATACGATTAACTGTATTTGCATTTTTATACTTCATAATTGTTAAATATTTGAAACATCTCTATTCTGCACTTTTGAATTTATCATCTGTTATTTGTAAATAGATATAGAAAGTAAATTATTATTTTAAACGCAGATATAAGTAATTAAATGTTTAGCTTTAAAATTTAATATGTATTAGTTTAGTTATTTTTATTAGAAAGTTAATTGAATAGAATTTATACTTCGAGATTACATTATATGATCCACATTTAATCAATAAGGTAACTGTATTAAATGAAGAATTTGTTATAAAATCCAATGAAATAAAAATTTTGTGTATTTAGTTATAACAAAGAATATTTCTTATATACTTATAAAATATACCATTAATGGCCATCAATTTGTCGGTATTAAATAGTAATAATGCAATTTATTTTGAATTATCATTAAATTATAGTCAACATGAATAAACAAATATTTATTTTGATTATTTACATAATTTCATCATAAATGCACGTTTTTATTCACATACATAATTTGTATCAGAAAAATATTTGTTATAAATAACAAAAGCTCTTATAATGTAAATAAGTTAACTTTTTACGAATGACTTTATTATTTATTCTACAAAACATTCTAATTATTACAAGAGATTATTATAATGGTCATTTAATATATAATGATTATTATAAATTTATTAAATGCTATTAAATATTTAAAAAAGTATTAATAAATATACAGTCAATAACATATTCCAATACGCGTATTATTTAATGTTTACGGGTAAACTAGGTACAATTTAAAAAATCTAATTTGGTACGATTGTGGGCATCTATGGTAAGCAAAAGTTGGCTATTTTAAATTTTTTGATTGACTTCTTAATTTTTGCTAAATGATGAATAAATATTTTTGTAAGAGTACTGAATAGTACTTTACGTTCTAATTTTTTGAAAAAAGTAGACTTAACAATAAAATAATACAAACCTGTAATTCACTTTTTTTCTAGACAAGATTCTTAACATTTTGGTATACTGATTGTTAAAATTGACAATGTTTATTAAAATGGCAAATATGTTAAATATGAAATTTTTGGCACTTTACCGCTCTTAATTTTATATTACACCAATTAGATGAAAAATCCTGATATAGGTATCGACTCATTTTAGATTATGTACATTTTGAGATATACAACGCAAAAATCGACCAAGTAGTTTTTGACCAACAATTATTCATCATTCAACAAAAATTAAGAAGTTAATCAAAAAATTTAAAATAGCCAACTTTTGCTTACCATAGATGCCCACAATCGTACCGAATTATATTTTTTAAATTGTACCTAGTTTACCCGTAAACATTAAATAATACGCGTATTGGAATATGTTATTGACTGTATTATAATAATAAATTTTAAATGACAAAAGGACTTTTTGGGCTATCATACACTTAATCATGATTATTTAAATCAAACCATTTACAGCGCTGTTTTTGTACCATGGTACTTTATGTTTATATGCATTTCCCGAATTGTGGTTAACGCATAGCATCGCGTGTGATCCTTGTTTTATATTCAGACTAAAGTTATATTATACATTCAAGCTATATGTTTATAGCGAGCAACATTGATTACTGACTTTATTTGTATAGAAATATTAAAATAATTAAAATAAATTGTTTTTAATTCATAAATACTTATAATTTATTAAACTGTTATAATATATTCATCTATTAAAAAGAAGTAAATTTCTTAAGCATGATTTTATTTTGCAAATTATTTTAGAAGATCTCACTGACGAAAAGAAACGCAATGTTATTAATGAAGTGGACATATTATCAAAATTGGACTCAATTAATGTTGTTCAATATTATAATTCGTGGTTTGAAAGTGATTATCTGTACATTCAAATGGAGTACTGCCCGCAAACATTGCGTAAAGTACTTGACGACAAATGGCGAGCATTTGGGAGACAATCACCAAAAGAACCAATGAATTCGTATGAGTATTATATTTTGTGCGAAATATTTTGGGAAATTTTGCGGTGCCTTCAGTATATTCATGAATTGGACTCGCCAATAATTCATCGTGACATTAAACCGGCTAATATTCTAATTTCAGTAACTCATGATAATATTATGTCACTTAAACTATGTGATTTTGGTTTGGCAACCGAACATGATACAAAGTCAAAAAGCCATAGCCGGGGTGTGGGCACTCAAGGATATATGGCGCCCGAAATAGGGTACACTACCAAATATGACACTAAAGTTGATATTTATAGTGCGGGAATTATTGGACTTGAAATTAGCGATATGTATGTAAATATATGGATCAGCTCCGGTGATAGTCCTGAAGTTGTCCATCACATCATAGCATCTCCATTTCATAAGCTTTCAATCAAACCAATTTCGGGAAAAATAAAAACTATACTTTTCGAGTTATCGTTTCCCGAAAGTCAACACATTCACATCCCATTGAAACACTCTTTGTCCACTGGATCAGCTCCAGAAAATATCCCAAAGTTTTCCTTTCAATCAGCTGTTCCTCACATTATAATCTTTCGATTCACAAAATTTCGAGAACTTTCCAGACATAGTTTTCGAAATATCACCCCTCAACGTCGAAACCCATTCATGCATTACGCGCGCCCTCTCTGAACACCTAACCTCAACACAAGAACCGTCACACTTTTATTTTAAAAACATTTAAGAAATAATTTTTTTAGAATTAAATCCCCTACCGACTAAGGTTGAGCTTTGTTTCGAGATACCATTTGTTCAAATACTTATTACACTGCAATATAAAATGTTATAATTTATAACTTATGAGTATACGAGTTTGCTGTCATTATTAATAAAGATTAATTTGTGAAAATAGTTTATATTTGCGTATAAATATAATAAATTTTAGGCGATTATCTGTTTGTGAGAAACGATTTTTAGCAATTATTATAAATGATTGTTTCCAATGGTTTTCACTGATTATTACAAATGTTATCAATTATTTATACGATTTTTATTCACAGTAAGTGGTTTTGTGTAATTTATAAAAACCGTTACCGGTTGTTTGTAAGTCATATATAATTGTGCTCAAAACTAAATATCTATTAACAGTTACAATTTTTTTATATAACTAAATATATTTAAATTTGTAATTATGAAAATTTTTAAACCATGAGTGAAATAATAAATAAGTTTGTTATTTGTGATAAAATTCAAACAAATCTAAGAAAAAATATTTTAAAATTACATGTTTTTTATGATTATAGAGAATGTTATAATGTGTTGTTTATTACAAGCGATGATATTGTCTATGGTTTAGGCAATAATATGGGAGGCTGTTTGGGTTTAGGACACAACAGACCCGTACTCTCACCAGAACTAATACCACAATTATGTCATCAAAACATACAATACTTTGTCAATGGATTGGATTTTGTGTTAGCAGTGAATGAAATTAATATCATATACGGATTTGGGACTAATATATTGGGACAATTGATCCGGCGTAATGAAATAGGCAAGGATTGCCTTAAACCAGAAATATTATCATATTTTAATGATAAAACCGCTGTACGTATATGTTGTGGAGACTATCACACACTTGTGCTGACCAGTGATGGCCGGGTGTATGCCTGGGGCGGCAATAATTGGGGACAAATAGGTTGTGGAGATAATAATGAATATATTTCGACACCAATTGAATTACAATTCACCGATAGTTATACAATAAAATATATTCATTGTTATTATGGCTCTTCATTTGCGATCACAACCGATGGACATGTGTTCAGTTGGGGCGACAATAGAGGCCATGAATTGGGACACAATATGATTGATAGCAAAATATTTAACCCTCGATTAAATAAAACTTTATATGGTGTAAAGCAAATCTGTTATACTATTTATGGCACATATTTTCTGACACCCAATGAATTGTATTTTTGTGGAGAATTTATGAAAAACAAAAAAATGACAATAAACACAATTCCGAAGCAAATACTAACAGAATATAAATTTCAAGATTTACAACAAATTAATTCATATTTTATGAATAGAATTGAATTCATATGTGTTTTAATAAATGATAAAATATATAAAATATCTAATAATCATAAAATAACTGAAACAACATATAAAAATTTTACGGACTTCTATGCCAATGAATGCCAATTAACATATAATACGCTAACTATTAAAAGCAATAAATTTTAATAAAAACATAATTAATGAATAATATACTTGGATGTCAATAGAAAAATAGAAAACAATATTACATGTAATAAGGGGGTGGGAAGGTAGTAAAAACTATAGAGAGGGATAGAAAACAAGAGTGGGAGAGGGAGTTGGTATCATAACAAAGTAACTGAATAGATAATTTTAAATGACTTCTACGGCCCACCCGTTGGGCGCAGAGGGCTTACGGCGATCGCCATCTAATCGGAAAATGCAGTGATAATTGTGTTTTGAAAACAGTTGTCATTATATTTAAAAAAAAACATACGATTAGTCTCTCATTAGATAACTATTATTATAATTATTATTAATATTATTATTATTATTATTATTATTATTACTGTATTTTTTAGTAAATTATGATAAGATTTTTTGATAACATTTTTTTGTTAATTTCAAACCGTCTGAAAGTTTGAAATGATTTTTGTTTTGAGTATTTTTTGTAAAAAATACATAATTAATTGAAATCTTAATTATAATTATTATTTGATTTATAATTATCTGAAAATATTACCGGAATTTTCTGCTCACATGTTATTTGGTCTCAGATTTTAGCCCTAAATTAAAATAACATTTGTTTTAATACAATATTTAAAATGTAAATCTAATTCTTAACACAATTATTATATTCATGTTTTAATTATTTAATTATTATTTTGTATTCTCTCTCTTTCTTACTCTTTCTCTCTCTCTCTCTCTCTCTCTCCCTCTCTCTCTCTCTAAATATAAAATTTATTTAAAATAAATTATATTAAAATGTAAAATAAAATCACAAATTAAATATTTGACATATTTACTTTTAGCATAACAAATTATATTAAGGTTAATTAATTAAATATTAAGTGGCTTAATGAATTTGCATTTGACTCTTATAGTAAATTAATTAAAGAATATTCTACATTTAAATAGTAATATACTATAAAATAATATAAAAACTGTAATAAAATAATTAAAACACATTTAATGTGTATATTTACAAAATTGTAAATAATATTTGTATAGATTCAAGAATAGATTTAAGTTTAATTTATAAGAGTGTAAAACAGCTGTCAATGTATTGCAAACAAAAGGGCTATCAATTAGAGTGTGTATCAAATATGAGCTCAAAGAGTGTGTATAAAAGGACTATAAACATAAAGTACCATGGTACAAAACAGCGCTGTGTATAATATGGTTAACAAAATAGTGATCATTAAAAGTGTACGATAGCCCTAAAAGTCCTTTTTGTTAATCAAATGCCTTTGTTTAAAAAACACAATTTAACTGCATTTGAATTTAACTCCTGTGTGTTATATAAATAATTTGTATAGTATTAGGTGTTTATGAAACCCAAACTGATTGGCAAAATGTATCCCAATTTTGTACTCAAAAAAACCGATCGGTTTTCGAATTGTTTTAATTAATTAATAATATAATTAAAATATAATTCATATTACGGTAAATATAATTTAAAATAATTTAATTTAATTATGTTTTAAATATTTGTAATATTGATAGCTTATAAGTAAAGCTTCCATTTTCCGGGAGTATAAACATCAAAATTCGGGAATTAACAGGCCAAAATCGGGAAAATTCGGGAAATACGTTTTTATTCAATTATAACACAATCATCGTACATATAAATCATTTAGAAATGAATTATAGTTGATAATGACATGAAATTTGAGCTTTTTTCAGTCTTCTATCTCTAAGAATAATCCAAAACTTAGAGAAAGAACGCTAAACTTCAACGGAGATAATCAATATATATGTTGTAAGACATCTTGTGGTCTACAAAACATGTTTTGATTTTAGTTATATTCAGTTTAGAATTTTATTAAAAGTTTTGGTGATATATTATAGTTAGTAAATAAATAATTTTCGCCGGAAAATATCTAAATTCGGGAATATTTTCAATAAAAATAGACTTTTCGGGAATTTTCTCAAAAATATGCCAAAATCGGGAATTTTTCCAAAATAAGCCAAAATCGGGAAAATAAAACGTATATATTTTTGGTCTATTACAACCCCTATACCTAATGGTATATAATTCCCGATGATTATGTTAACTATTTTATTCGGGAATTCCCGAAAATTGGAAGCCTTACTTATAAGTTATAAATCACTATAAATGTAATAGTCACTAATAAATATGTGACAAGTCTTTAACGAAATAAATAAATACAAATTCAATTGGTATTTAACATTTTAGCTTATTTATAATAGATTAACAATTAAATTCAGATAAATAATAAATCTAATTTATATAAACTAAATGATAAAGCGTGAAATGCTTTAAACGTTAATGCTTTATAATATCGTACCTTTGCGTATATGGTAATAAAATATATTCTTAAAAAGTTAGTAATATTTATCAACATAAATCATAAACTGATTATTACCAACGTGTTCGCATTCGGTTTTCTGTATTATTATATTAAAATGGCAGAATTACATATAAAACAACATTGATCAATTTTTTAATAAAGCATAAATATAAAATATATTAAATTAAATTTCATGTTTTTAGTTTAATTATAATTGTGTAATAAATATAATTTACAATGTGTGAATTAACCAAATTAAGTATCAGTGATATATCGAGAGAAGGTCATTATAAAAAACAATTTTTCGAGATGTCAGCCCTAGGTTCGGGTAGTTATGGGAAAGTATTTAAAGTAAAGTATATATTAGATGGTGAACTATATGCCGTTAAACGAGTACAATTTGGTGGTAAGCAATAGTTATATCAATAATGTGAATAAAATTTAATAAAATGTTTATAAACTAGATTTTAGTGATGAAAAGCAACAAAAAATGTTGAAAGAAGTGAAAATATTGGCAAAATTGGTCTCCGATTTTGTAGTCAAATATCACGACTCGTGGACCGAAGACCCGCATCTCTACATACAGATGGAGTACTGCCCGCAAACACTCCGCTCTGTCATCAAAGACAAACCACTAGTGTTTGGCAGACTATCACCGGCCGAACCGCAGACTGTCTTCGAGTACTTTATATCGTGCGAAATACTTCGGGAACTTTTGCTATGCCTTAAATTCATACACGAAGTTATACCGCCTATTATTCATCGGGATATAAAACCCGATAATATATTGATTTCAACAAACAGCACAAATATTAAGCTAGGTGATTTTGGTTTGGCCACCGAACATGATCGCCAATCTAAGAGCCACACACACGGCGTCGGGACAAAGAACTATATGGCACCGGAAATAGGATTTTGGGGATCTAAATACGATTGTAAAGTTGATGTTTACAGTATGGGAATGATTATGGCAAAAATATTTGAAATGTAATGTATTATTTAAACATACCATTTTTTAATCGCAATTTAAAAATGAAGAATGTACTGTAGTTTATAGAATCTGATACTATGTTTAGTCTATCACTATATGACTTTTAGACACGTTTTAACATTGGTTTTTATAGGAATACAGCTTAAGCCATTGGTAATGCTATTTCTATGGCATAAGTTTAACATGAGCATAGCTACGCAGGGCGGGTAAAACTAAGTAAACGAGGGTAAACTGTAATGTATTGTCTATGGGAGCATAGAGGCAAAGCCTAACATTTGCGTGTTTTTGCGTGATCCTGAACAAAAGTATTAAAATGTAAAATCTTTAATGCATATCCCGAATTGTGGTTAACGCATAACATCGTGTATGAACCTTGTTTATCATGTTTATTAATTAATTTAAGTTTATAAATACACTAATTTTCATTTAAAATTTAAACTTAAATTTATACATCATATTTTATTTTTAGCTACTCTCATCCAACGTATAAATTAACCACGTTTTCGGACAATTTTGATAAGTTAAGAGATATTGTTTATTCGATGATTGAGTCTATGGAGACTAAACGACCTACAAGTACTCAAATACTGCATCAATATAACGACTGGGCTATCAATAAGTCGCTTATTACTAATCATAAGGATTTCAATGCAATAAAAAATACTCTTAAATCCAACGGAAATATATTTTTCTACGAGTTTTTAATGTGTAAAACACAATAAAACTCGCAATTAATTAACAAAATATTTTCTAGTTGTTGATAATAATGATGAGTTCATGCAATACAATGATGGCTAAAAACTATTCTAAATAATGTTATAATACAATATAATAAAAGTTATAAAACTTTACAAAATAACAGGATTTTATGAGAAGCAATACAGGTATATAAAACTTAATTCTCTATTGTAACATTTATTGTCATTGTGGATCATTAGTACCTTATTGTTTAACTATATGTTTTACAACCTTCTTTAGAAACGGTGTTTTGTTATCATAATACTGTATATAATTTTTCTATGAAATATTTTGCCAATAAACCAATGTTTCCAATGGTTTCACTGATTATAACGTTTTATTTCGTTTATACAAATAACATATACCGTAATAGTTATTAACTGTTTTATGCATCTTGTTTTAAGTAATGGCGATGTATTTTACCATACAAAATATTAAACAAAATATTTCATACTAAATTAAGTTAACAGGTTTTAATATATATTTATATTAATTACAATTATTACAAAATGTGTGAATTGTTAGAGAAGTTAACAAATTGTAATAAAATTCCGTCTTATTTAAGAAAACATATATCTAAAGTGCATATATTTTATGACTGGAGAAAAGGTGTTAATGTGTTGTTCATTACAACCGATGATTTTGTCTATGGATTTGGTAATAATATGGACGGATGTCTTGGTTTGGGACACAACAGACCCATACTATTACCTCAACTTATACCACAATTATATCATCAAAACATACAATTTTTTGTCAATGGACTGAATTTTGTGTTAGCAGTGAATGAACGCAACAAAATATATGGTATGGGTTGTAATATATGGGCACAGTTGGCACGTGCTGACAAAATTGGCCATGACTGTCTTAAGCCAGAGATAATAACATATTTTGAAGATAAAACAATCAAACAAATTAATTGTGCTAATTATCACACAATTGTCTTAACCAGTGATGGCCGGGTGTATGTCTGGGGCGGCAATAATTGGGGCCAAATTGGTTGCGGAGATAATATTGAATATATTTGTACACCAATTGAGTTACAATTTGCTAATAATTGTATTATAAGATCCATATATTGTTCGTACGGCTCGTCGTTTGCCATCACATCCGACGGACATGTGTTCAGTTGGGGCGACAATAGAGGCCATGAATTGGGACACAATATAACCGATTATAAAATATTTAAACCGCAATTAATATCAAATTTAAATGATGTAAAAGCAATCAGTTGTAGTATTTATGGCACTTATTTCCTGACATCCAACGGGTTTCTGTATTTTTGCGGTGAATATTATGAAAACAATACAGAAGTCATTGAAAAAAGTCCGAAACAAATATTACCTGAATATAATTTTCAAGAATTACAACAAATTAACTCATATTTTATGAATAGAATTGAATTCATATGTGTTTTAATGAACGATAAAATCTATAAAATATCAAATGAACACAAAATAATTGAAAATAATTATAATAATTTCACCGACTTTTACGCCAATGAATACCAAATCACTTATAATACAATTAATTTGAAAGTGATCAAAAAACTATTCAAAGGTATTAATGATTGCCAAATGTTATCTAATTGATTGAAAATATATTTGTTAACTCATATCTTCAGATAACATCAACAATACTAATTACAATCTAGGTATTCAACCTATGTCAAAATTATATGATCCTGACCGAGAAAATTTTAAAGATGTTTTAACTCCTACGTTGATGGAAATGCCACATAAAAATAAAAAGCAAATACAGCCAATCAAAATTCATCGACCGTGGATTCGGACTAATGCAATGTATAGTGGTCATTATGAATTGGAGGCTCAAGGAAATTCAGAACACATACCCAAGGTATATTCTAAAAGTAATACGCTTATATATAAAATTATAATCTTAATTGATTTCAGCAAAAAAAGGAGATCACAATAGTATTGTTGGGACAGTTAGGTGTAGGAAAGTCCACATTTATTAACGCATTTGTAAACTACATGTCGTTTGAGAGTATGGATGCGGCCGATGGACAGCCAATATGTTTAATACCCGCAAACTTTACAATTTGTTACCCACAGACTAGAAGACCAGTGAATATAACATTCGGTGAACCGGATATCAATGAAAATTCAGATGACCCGGCACAATCTGCCACACAATATCCCAAATGCTATAAATTTCAAAACGATAACTTTGTGCTTAACATAATCGATACCCCGGGTATTGCTGATACGGATGGCGTGGAGCGAGATAATGAAAATATGCAAAATATATTGGATTTTATTAGCAATTATCGGGAAATCAACGCCTTTTGTGTTCTATTAAAGCCAAACAATGCGAGAGTTGATGTGATTTTCAAACATTGTTTGTTTCAATTATTTAATCATTTGAATAAAAGCGTCACAAATAATATACTATTTCTGTTTACAAACTCCCGGAGCACTGATTACTTGCCCGGGGATTCCGGGCCCGCATTAATTAGAATTTTGAACCAAATAAGGGAAGGGCCGCCAAATATTGACATCCCTTATAACGTGAATACAATCTATTGTTTTGATTCCGAGTCATTTCGATATCTCGTGGCTTCGGTTCCGCCAAATAATATACAGTTTGACTCAAAATATAAGTCTAGATATATTGAAAGTTGGGATATGTAAGATTATTTATTAATGTAACAATTATTAAATGTATAATATTTGTTACAGGTCTGTAGAGGAATGTCAACGTTTTTTTGATTACATAAAACAATTGCCGGCACACAAAGTGATGGACACACTATCGGTAAACGAAACCAAACAAATCATTCAATTATTAACCAAACCGTTGGCCGACATCACGAAGAATATCGCGGATAACATTAATCAGTGCCAAAGACATAGCGTTGAGATCAACGAGTTTTCGGGAACTATTGAAGAACTTCGCAATAAACTATACATACCATCCGTTGAGATAATAACCAAACCATTAGACCGACCGATGACTGTATGCGGTGACGGCCGGTGTTGTAAACGGCAAACAATCAATGATATAACCGAGATCAATTACAATACCCAATGCCATACACCATGCTACTTAGACTTTAACGATGGTAACATTGTTGGCAATAAAGGTTTTCTTCGGTGTAAAGCGTTCAATAGATACAGCGGCACAGATCGTGATCATGTCAAGTCTAAACAATTAATTTCCCGGTCGCTATCCGATACGATTAGATCTAAAATTACGGAATCGACTAATTGTAAAGAGTGTGGCCATAATTATCAAACGCACCTGTATCTGACCTACGAGATCGAGTCTAAAATCACCAAGGTCACTGACATTGGCATTGTATCGGCCCAATCGGCCGCTGAGGGCAAAGTGCTGCAAATCCAAAGTCTAGACCAACGAATTGCTGATTTGAACGCCGAAAACGAGACAATCGTAAAATCGATGTCAAAGTTTACCTGTTTTCTGAAAAACAATGCGTTAACGACTGTAAACGATGCGTTTGGAGACTATGTCCGACACCTGATAGCCAATGAAAACCACGGAAGTTTTTGCGCGGATAGTCAGACCCAAACCTCACGTCTCGAGCAGTTGTTAGACGATTATAAATACGAAAAACAGCTTATTTCTAATTATATGCAAAACTCGAATGGTAGCAATAATATTACTGCCCAAATAATCAACGATTGTGTGGAAAAATTGTGCAAGCTCAAATATAAAGGTCCCGATATTCGCAATATGCTGGAAATTCAGCGTCGATTAAAGTCTCAACATCACCTGTCACATAATGAGATTGAATATAGACCACCAACAAACAGTATTTTTAATCTAGCTAAACTATTTAGTGAATCGCATGATTTGTCAGGTGGCGTTCAAAAGTTCCTCAATGCTGTATTGTGATCCTATTGCGATTTATTGAGTACTAGATTTAGTTTTACATAATAATTACAAATATAAGTTTATATTACACTTGTATTATAAAAAATATATTAATAAACTTTGACAACATTTTAAATAAATATTAACATTGTTTTATCATTCTTTGTTTGAAATTGTAGAAAATAATTATATCTAGTAATATTATAATATATAATTTATAAGGCTTATATTTGGTTGATTCTTATATAATTAACGTTTTATAAACATAAAAATTTGTAATTATTATTTGCTTTATATTTATCTAAATAAATAATAATCTAATATTTTTTGCACAAAATATGTAAATAACGATGTGTGTGTTAATTTGAAATTTTAATTTAATTAATAACGTTATTTCATAATTATTTTGTTTTAATGAAAAAAGTAGTCATTTTTGCAAAAATATTTCTGTAATAATAAAATAAATCTAATTATATTAATAAATAATAAATGACGTATTGTATCAAAGCTTTTACAACTGATCACAAAACTAATTAGTTATAAAACCATAACATTTTTGTGTTTTAAGATTTATTTTCATTTTCCTTATGTGAGACTTGCAATCAGTAAAACCATTGGCAACTTCACCTGTACTGATATTTTATATAATAAACTCATGATTAGAATTATATGATATTGAAATATTAAAGTGTTAGCAGACCAAGCCTAGTTGATGAATTAATAAACCTATTATATTATTTAACACTACTGCCAATATGATTTATATAACTAGTCATTTTTAATTTTAATAAGTTGGGATTTAATATAAAAATCATTGTGCTCAAAATCTATTAAGTTATATTAAATATAATTGTTATAACAGTTAAATTTATAAACTAGCAAATTTTTATATAAAATAAAATAGCAAAAGCCAATATAAAATGGCAGATGTAATCCATCATAATAATAATGATTTTAAAGTACGGTTTGTTAAAATATATACAATAGGTTCGGGAAGTTTTGGCAAAGTATACAAAGCGAGACAGATATCTGATGATTATATATATGCTGTTAAAAGAGTGCAATTTAAAGGTAAATATAATTAATATTTATTTTTATGAAATTTATTTTACATTAATTAATAAACTTTAAACAAATCTCAATGTAACATAGCTTTTAGTGATGAAAGCAAAAGTCGAGTCGTAAAAGAAGTGACAATATTATCACAATTGGATCCAAATTTTGTGGTCAAATATTACAACTCGTGGTTTGAATACAGTATAAGATAACCAAGGCGCCGAGGTAAGTGGCCTAATTATTGGTGACTCTCCCTTCACTGCAGCCCTACTTTCCCTGCATTACACGGGGCTCTTGAGAGTACAGTTAACTCTCACTATATAGTTTGAAATTTAA